CGAGCAGGGGGCTGATGGAGATACGTGAAGCGTGAAGAGTCCCACCAGCCCTCTGGGCGTCGGTGGCTTAGGGCGTTTCCTCTTCCACCCCTCTCTCTGCCCCTTCGGGGAGGGGTTTGCCCCTCCCCCTCTCCCCTCCCCTGGACCTGGACGGGGGGCGCCGCGGGTAGTTAGAGCGTCCAAAACGGCCTCGGCGAGGAAGCCACAATCATTGATGCTACTAAGGTTTTGGTCCCATTTTGGCCTCCTGGGGGGGGACCTTAATTGAGGGACCCCCCCTCGTTGACCGATGCCCTCCAAGATGGCCCCAAGAAGCGCCCATGAGGCTCCAAGAGGTCCCAAGATGGCCCCAAGATGGCCCCACGAGGCCCCCAAGAGGCCCCCAGGAGGCCCCCAAGAAGACCCGAAGCGGCCCCAAGAGGCCCCCCCCGAGGCACCCAAGACCCCGAAGAGCCCCACAGGATCGCCAAGAGACCCCCAAGACGTCGCAAGAGGCCACCCAGAATCGCCCAAGAGATACTCCAAGAGGCTCCGAGAGGCATCCAAGAGACCTCTGGCCCTTGTGCTTGCCCTCCTCCTCCTCCTCCTGTTCCTCCTTCCTGCTCCTACTCCTTCTCTTCCTCCTCCTCCTCCTCCGCCTCCTCCTCATCCTATTCATCCTCCTTCTTCCCACTCCCTCATCCATCCATCCATCCACCTCCTCCTTCTCCTCCTCACTCCTTTGCACGGTTCGGCCGTCCTCCTCTTTGATGCCGCACTTCCCTGCTCACCTCAACTCGCCTGGACATCGTTTCTGGATGGGCCGGTGGGGATACGCGAAGCGTCTAGAATTTCTCAAAGTGGTCCACTACCGCTGCTGTTTTTTCATTCTATGCGAAACCGGACGCAATTACCTGCTTGCGGCGGTCCTCATTATCCGCCTCGTCATGCTTGTCTCTCCCTTCCGTCCTGAATCGTGTCGTAGGCATGTATGCTTCATCTCATGTTCTACAATCGTACCTACTATTGCCTGTCGGCTGGTCTTCGTCGCGTACATCTCGTCCATGTCGTGTTGTAATCCCTCCACCTCCACCTCCATTCCCTCCAGATTGTCCTGCATCTCTGCCAAGTTGACTTCAACATTCTTCACCTCCTCCTTCGTTTTCCCAATTCTTCTCCTCCCTCTGGCCCCAAGAAAAGGCGAAGCTGCTCGAATCGTTTAACTTGTCGTGTTTCATACACGTTGGACCAAGATGGGGCTGCACTCATCATCGCAACATCATGTGTTGTACGTTATCCCTTTTGAAATGTGGTCAGACGTGAAGATTGCGCTTGTTGCATTCTATCAGAAAAAAACGGCGCCGACCTAGGCGGAGTGAGCCCACAAACTATGCCGCGGGCGGGTGCAGCGGAGGTCAGGCACAGAGTAGAGCAAATAATAGTGGCCCGACTGGGCGAGCGCAACCCAACAAAATATATATATATATATAATATATATATATAATATATAATATATATATATATATAACTGTATATATATAGATATATAGTATCCTTCTCCTTCTCTTTCTCTTGCTCACCTCCGCTGGAAGCCGCTTCGAGAATCTCTAGTAGATTGGCCTCGCCTTCGCCCTGCAGTGGGGGCGGGCGGGGAGCCCGGTCGCGGCACCGTGGCGCTCAGATGCCGTCGGAGCCCAGGCACACGTGCGGTATAGGAATGGGGGAATACAGAAGACAGTATGATGAGGATGATGATGATGAGAATGATGAGGATGATGATGATGATGATGAGGATGATGATGATGATGAGGATGATGATGATGATGATGATGATGATGATGATGAAGATGATGATGATGCTGATGAGGATGATGAGGATGCTGAAGATGATGATGATGAGGATAATGATGAGGATGATGATGAGGATGATGATGATGATGATGATGATGCTGATGATGATGATGATGATGATGATGATGAGGATGATGATGAGGATGATGATGGTGATTATGAAGATGAAGATGAAGATGATGATGATGAGGATGATGATGATGAGGATGATGATGATGATGATGATGATGATGATGATGCTGATGATGATGAAAATGATGATGATGCTGATGAGGATGAGGATGATGATGATAATGATGATGATGATGATGATGATGATGATGATGATGATGATGATGATGATGATGATGATGATGATGATGATGATGATGACCCAACGCCACAGGAGTAACGGGCAGTTGGTCTGGCGGCGAGCGAGGAGGGGAAGTGAGGAGGAGAAGGCTTGCTCAGAGGGCTCGGAAGTCCCCCAGCTTCCTGAGACATGTCCTAACCCTTCCCGAAGGCGCAGAAGCCTTCTCAGAAGGCGCGAGGCCTTCATAGAAGTCCCTCCGCCTTCTGAGAAGGCCTTCTCCTTCTCACTTCCCCCCCTCGCTCGCCGCCGATTGGTGAGAAACACATGAACCAGTAACTTCAGAACGGCTTGAGATGGCTCCAGTAGTCGAGACCCCCCGTCTTTGATCCATGTTCTCCATTGGAGAACATGGATCAAAGACGCTACATGAGTGGGGAAATACAAAGTAATAGGTAGTTGGTACGAGGACAAACTATTACCTTCAGAACAGCTCGAGCCAACTTTGCTACAGCAACTGAGGCCCCCCCGTCTTTGGCCAGTGTCCTCCAAGGTGACCCCAAGACGGCTTCAAGAGACTCCCAAGAGGGCTCTAAATAGCTCCAATATTGCATAAGATATCCAGAAGTGGCTCCGGATGGCCTCCAGGATGCCTCCAAGAGGCGCCAATACCCCCCCAAGACGGGTCCAAGTGGCCACGGAGTCTTGACATACTTCTCCTCCGTCCCCTCCCCTCACCCTCCTCATCCTCCTACTACGTACTCCTCCCCTTCCAGTTCCTCTCCTCCTCCTCCTCCTCCTCCTCCTCTTTCTCCCCTTCCTTCTGCTACATCCTCCTCCTCCTCCTCCTTCTCCTCCTCCCTCCTCTCACTTCATGCGTCTTCTCCTCCTCCTCCTCCTCCTCCTCCTCTTCCTTCCCCACCTTCCCCTCCCACACAGAATCCACCAGAAACTGAGCGGGAACGTGTTCCATCAAATTCCTCATCCTTTTGATCGCCTTCATCCATCCTCCTCCTCCTTTTCCTCCATCCTCCTCCTCCTCCTTCCTCGTCCTCCTCCGCCTCCTACCTCCATTTCCTCCTGCTCGTTCGACGAAACTGCGGAAACAATTGCGGCTCACTCGTGGTCCAAGTCAAATTGATCTCCGGCTTCGGTTTGAGCGTGGTAGCGGAGCAGGAGGATGATCGACGATGATTCGTCGAAACTACCTTTTTTAAAGTGCTGGCGAGCTTGTGCGAGATTGGGCCGCTGGCCGCTGGGCCACTGAAGCTGCAATGCTGCCAATGTGGACCTAGACCCATTGAGCCTCGATTACTCCGAATCCGTCTCGAAACCGATGAAGTTACTTGGCCGCCGAGGCGGTCGTGCATCTCTCTGCACGTTCATCGGGTGGCTGTGCCAGCAGCCAGCGCGTGTGTATGTGCAACTCGCCATCGCTCGGACGTCCATTCCCTGTGTTTTTGTTCGGTTTCGTGCGTGGTTGTTGCGCCAAATGATCAAGGATGCTCCTCGATGGCCCTCGCCGAAGGAAACATGCACACGTCCGAGCGACGCCAAGATATAGTTTACTTATCTGCGTGCTGACGCTTCTGTTCAATGGAACATCTCCACCAAAAACACACTTAAACAAACAAACGCTAACATTGTTTGGGGCACCGCCCCCAAAAAACTGAAAAAGCGGCGAGCATGCCTGAAGCATCTTCAAAACTGACCAAACGCAAGCGAGCATGTTTGGAGCATCGTCAAAAAAGGGAAACAACGCGAGCACGTTTGGAGCCTCGATACCAAAAAGGCAACGAGCATTTTTGGAGCAAAAATAAGATTCCATCATTTCCGAAGGACTAGCCAGACGCGCAACTCACACTTCTACTGCATGCTGCTACGCTCCCCTGATCGAGGCCACTCGCCTGGGCACCGTTTCTGGATGGGCAGGTGGGGGTACTTTTTGATTCGCGGCCCGCAAGGAAAAGTCCAGAGGGCGGTAAGAGCGAGGCTGGGACACAGCGCACGGGATGGCAGATAATTAACGGGGCGGCACAAGTGCCGGCCAAGAAGCAGCTGAGCAAGTGCCAGGTGGGGATACGCGACGCGCCAATCATCTCAAGGTTCTGTACTTCTGGAGCGTCTCGTTCGGCATCGGCCCTGTGCAAACTGCAGAGATCCCACAGAAACCCCACGACGGCCCACAATGGGGCCCCAAGACGGCCCGCTCACCCACTCCAGAAACGCGGCCCGACTCCGCCCATGATATAGTTCAACCTAGCTCCTTCGGGAGGGTTCGGACATCGGCGGCGAGCCCGGGGAGAAGTGAGAAGGGGCGGGCCTTCTGAGAAGGCTCGGAGGTCCCCCAGCCTTCTGAGAAGTTCCCCAAGCCTTCCCCGAAGGCACGGATAACCTTCTAGCAGGCCCGAGGCCTTCTGAGAAGTCCCGCCGCCTTCTGAGGCCTCCCCCTTCTCACTTCCTCCCCTCTCTCTCGCCGACAGTCCCGCCGCCTTCTGAGAAGGCCGCCTCCTTCTCACTTCCTCCCCTCTCTCTCGCCGACGAGGATAGCACCAGCCTTGACCTCAGCGAGGCCGCGCCCTCACGATGTTTTATTAGGGCTCGGGCTTCTTTTATATCCTCGATGACCCTTCCCCCTCCCCCCGCCCGATCTGCGGAGGCCCCGCGAGACGAAGACGACGACGACGATGCCGCCGCCGACGACGACGCCGACGACGACGACGACGCCGACGACGACGACGAATACGACGACGCCGCCGACGACGACGACGACGACGACGACGAATACGACGACGAATACGAATACGACGACGAATACGACGACGACGACGACGCCGCCGCCGCCGCCGACGACGACGACGACGACGACGGCCCTTCCGGCCGCGGTGGACGCAGAGGCGTCGGCGCTGGGTACGCCCCGCATCCACATGGCGGCCCCGCCGACGGCCTCGGGGACGCAGGGGGGGGGGGGGGGCGCGGGAGCAGAAGGGCGGCAAGGTGCGAGGACGAGGACGAGGAGGAGGAGGAGGAGGACGAGGAGGAGGAGGAAGAGGAGGAGGAGGAGGACGAGGAGGAGGAGGACGAGGACGAGGACTACGACGACCACGACGACGACCACGACGACGACCACGACGACGACCACGACGACGACCACGACGACGACGACAACGACGTCGACGACGGCGGCGGCGGCGACGACGACGACGGCCGCCTTTGAAGGACGAAGGCTGTTGCCTTCTCAGGGAGGGCGAGGAGGGGGGCGAGGGCGGGGGCGGGCAAGGGGTCGCGGACGACGAGGACGAGTCGAGTTCTCGTGTGCACATCCACGAGCAGATCCGGGACCCGGCTGCTGCTCGGCTCGGGGGGGGGGATCCTCTACCCAGACCCCCGACGTCGTGATTTTTTCACGACGTCGACCCCCAGAGGTCTGGACCCCTTCCCCGGGACCGGTTCTTCGTCCTGAGTCGTTTTTTGACGCTCCCGAGGCCCGGGGAGGGCCCCCGGGGGCCGAAAATCGCGAAAAACCTCCCGTCGTGATTTTTTCACGACGCCAGGAGGTCTGGGTACCCCGACAGGCACGCGCGCGCAGATGGAACCCTGCGCACTGCTCTCCCGAAGCACGTGCCATGCGACAGCTCCAGGGGCAGGAGAGGCCAGGTCCTCGTGTGAACATCGAGCTCCCGCCCGAGGCTCTATGAAAAAATGCTACGGCAGGTTCCTGCCGCGGGGACGTCGGCGTTGGTTTCTGGCGCCGCGGGGATCGTCCAACCTCGACTGACCGGCCGTTCCGGAAAAGTCAGCTCGTTCAGCATCGACCGATTCTGGGTCGCCGGCAACGCCCAACGTTGAACGCCGGCGGCGGGGTCGCCGACGGTCAACTCGCGCACTTTCTCGAGAGCGTGTAGCAGTTCTTCGGCAGGTTCGTGCCGTGAGGACGTCGGCGTTGGTCTCTGACGCCGCGTGGACCGCTCAACCTTGGAAACGATCGCGGCTTTCCGATTGATCGCTGCATTCAGGCCTTGATAGTGAAAAGGTTTAGGATTTAGAAGAATGCTCCCAGATGTGGAACATCTTTGCTGCATTGAGGAAACCGTTTTGGGCGTTTACCAAATGCTGTTCTGGCTTGTTTTCATTAGGTGGCGCAATTTAATCCGCCGAGCCCCGCTTGCAGGGGGCGGAAAGGCGTGTGAGGTATTTGGCTGTGCCCCTTCCTCTTTGCTAGTCCCCTAGGGTCCAAAACGCCATTCTATGGGGGTGGGGGGGGGCACGAGCTCGTCAACGCACCCCTGGGGCCTCCAGAGCAACCAAAACGTTCCAAGACAGCCCAGCAGGGCCTAGACAGAGCGACAAGATTGTCGAAGAGAGCGTTATGATATGACGGCCCAGGGTAGCCCCACGACGATCCAAGACGGCTTCAAGAAGGCTGCCTTGGAGGCGCTTTGGGGCTGTTTTAGGGGCCTCGTGGGCTATCACACGAGGCCCCCAAGACAGCCCAACAGCGCCTCCAGAGGATCGCCGAGAGGGCCCCAAGAGGCCCAAATCATCCCAGTCCATAGGAAAAAAAAACATGTGTAGCACATTCGCATTTTACGTTTTGACAGCGAACACGACGGCTGAAGTGGCCCCAAAAATCGTCCCAAGACGGCCCATGACGCCTCCAAGAAGGCCCAAAGACAGCCTCAGGGGGCCCCCAAGATGGCCTAAGACAGCCCCTGGAGAGCCCCAAGAGGGCTCCAAGAAAGCCCAAGAGAGGGAATACGCACTCACATTTCGAGCCTTTCCCACCCAGATGGCCCCTCGAGCCCCCAGAGGCCCCCGATGGCCCTACAAGAAGACCCAAAGGCCTCCAAGACGCCCCCAAGAAGCCCATCAGAGACCCCACGAGGCCTCAAAAAGCCTCCCACATGCCCCCAAGAGTTCTCTGAGAGTCCCTAGAGACATGTCCCAAGAGACCCTCAGATTCATCCAGGAGGCCCCTGACCCAAAATGCAACTTCCACGATCGCCTCGAACACTCGCTCCTGTTGGGGGTCGGCGGACTGGCGCAAGCCACTCCAAGAAATTCACTTCCCGTTTCAACAGAACATAGTCCTGCCCCAAACACTGTGAACCAAATGTGCATTCATCCATCTCTTCCTCCTCCTCCTCCGGCTCCTCTTCCTCCTCCTCCTCCTCCTCGTCGTCGTCGTCGTCCTCCTCCTCCTCCTCCTCCTCCTCCTCCTCCTCCTCCTCCTCCTCCTCCTCCTCCCCCTCCTCTCCTCCTTCTCCTCGATCGCCAGATCGATCGGTGTCGGCCATTCTCGGGCCTGGCGGCGATCAACTCTGCAGGGCCGGCGCTGGGGTCGCGTCGCCGCGCCGGCGCGGCGCGAGCCCACCGGTTCGTGCGCGGAAGGACGCCGAATGCCCTCCCAAGGCAGGGGCGCCCTCGCAGAGCTCCCGCGATCGAGAACTAATGAAGGGGCCCCAGGACACACACAAATAGATACACACCAATAGAAATATTCCCCATAGTTTCCCATATTTTGTGGGTTTCTGTCTTAACCCCCACTTCCCCTATTTTCCCCTGTTTTCCTGTGAATCGACGATCAATTGTGTCTGTGTGTTCTTTCCCCTCCTGAAACTCATGCGGCAGGAGCTCGACCACAAGACACCTTCCACAGGAGACCCAGCCCTGGAGCCCCAGGACGCCCATCGCTGCGTGGTGGGAGCACCACGCTCTCCATGGCAACACCATCGACGCCCAAGAAGCCCGGGGCACCCTGGAGGCAAGCAGCGTGTTTCGTTGCATGGATCCCCACTGTATGACCGCGGATGCGAAGCTTCCAAGCAGACAGGCTCGCGCCCGCCGGAGCGCGGTGGGCAGGTGCGGGCGGTCGAGGCACGCCTCGCCGCGGCTGGCTCGCCCCTGCCTCCCTCCAGCGTGCAGGGTCGGCTGGCAGTGAAAGCCATGCTGGTCGCGCCCGAGCGGCCCTTGGGCCATGCGGCCCCTCGCCTTCCCGGCGGGCGCTCGCCAGTGGCGAGGCAGGATGCCAGAGCTGCCCTGCGACGAGCAGGCGCAGAGCGGCAGGGCGCGCCGCAACGTCGGGGGGTGTTTGCGCCTGGTTTTCCGGGGTCCTCCCGTGTCCTCCTGAGACGCTGGCAAGACTCCGAGCGACGGCGCTCGCAGTGTTTGACCTCTTCCTCCTTCTTTTCCCTCCTCCTCCCCCTCCTCCCCCTCCTCCTCCTCCTCCTCTCTCCTCCTCCTCCTCCCTCCCCCTCTCCTCCCCCCTCCCCCTCCTTTCCCTCCTTTCCTCCTTTCCTCCTTTCCCTCCTTCCCTCCCCCCCTACTCCTCCTCTTTCTTCTCCCCCTCCTACCCCCTCTCCTCCCCCTCCTTCTCCTCTTCTCCTCCCCCTCCCTTCCCCCCTCTTCCCCCTCCCCGTTGGCGTCGTCGCGGTCATCGCCGTCCTCGACGTCGTCGTCCTCGACGTCGTTGTCGTCGTCGTCGTCGTCGCCGCCGCCGCCGCCCGCCGCCGCCGCCGCCGTCGTCGTCCTCGTCGCGGTCGTCGCCGTCGTCACGATCGTCATGGTAGTCGCGGTATCGATATCGTCGTGGTCGTGGTCGTGGTCGTGGTCGCGCGGCCGGCAGCGCCGTGGACAGCCTGGTTCAGCGCCAGCAGCGTGTGCGGCACGGCAGGCCCAGCCTCGAGGGCCTTCCTCTCCTCGGCGCCTGGGGGTCGTCGTCGTCGTCGTCGTCGTCGTCGTCTGAGGGGGGAGGGAGAGAGGGAGAGGGAGGGCGGAGGAGGAGGAGAAGGGAGGGGGAAGGAGGGAAGGGAGGGAGGGAGGGAGGGAGGGAGGGAGGGAGGAGGAGGAGGAG